TTCTTGCTCTTAACTGAGCTCAGTTCTCCTTCCCGTTTGACCCGCCCATGATAAAACGTGAGCACCAAGCATCCTGTGCTGGTCACTGCCATACCTGGCATTAATATTATGCACAGAATTAAACCCAAAATACAAACACGGTAAAATCCTTAACAGATGGCGTGTGACCCCACTCCAAGGGTCCCCTGAACAAACTATGTTAAGAGGGCTCAACACCTTCCAGCCATTTGTCCCAGTTAATAGAGGCAGCCTCTGAATTACGAGGCAAACTCTGTCAACCACTCACAAATGAAGAGGTGGGAAGCTAACGGGAGATGTGCTGAAAAGAACAGTCTTTCCCACTTCAGAGTCAAATTAAAAGAAGAAAAATTCTGCTTTTTAATTAACTACGCCAATTTGGCCTAGAAATGCTTCACTTTTTTAAACTGTCATTATCTCTTACGTAGAGAAACTTGCAGCGTGAAACTAGGCTGGCCCTTCTGGCCACAAGAACCAGCCTACCTGCCTTCCACTATCCCTCTGTTCTCCTCCAGAGCGGGGAACAACAAACGTACCATTTGCATCTTTCTCTGGAAACGTAAAAGTGATTGACTTGATTCTGTGTGCAATCGCAACATTTTAAAAACCCTCTACCTCGGATCAATTCTAGAAATAAAGGCTAAATGTGAATCTGAAACTAAAAATAAACTCCACCCCCACCCCCACCAATTTGTAGATGGAAAGAACAGTTTAGCCTAATCCCACTGGCAGCAAGCAACCCCTAGAACCTTCCCCTGCAGAAGAGGAAGGTCATGGAATGACCCAAGTGGGCTGATGGCCTGGGATCCAGTTAGACTAATGGGAACAGGGGTTCCAAGTGTTTGTTTCTTCAAAAAATCTAAACATTGAGTATCTATCATCCTTTCCGGCTGGAATGGCGAATAAGCCAGACATTTAAGACAGGCCATGAGTCACGGGTTTCAAAAAAGAAACTCCTATTGTCGCATACTTTTTATCAACGTTTAAAAAGCAATGGAACAGCTGTTGCTGTCAGTAACCCACACAGAAAATGTGCACATGAACACCCCCGCCCCCCCCTCCCCTGCTGTACATGTGCGGGCGCTGTCTCTGGACATGGTAATGCGCTGGCAGCTTCTCTTCTCCTGGCCACACCGCTGGGGCCCAGGTTCCTAGACGATCAGACAGGGAAATGGGGAGCAGGTGTGGTAGGCAATCATCCCTGTTCCCTGGCATGCACACCCTGCCATCTCCTCCCCTTGAGTGTGGCCTGGCCCTCGTAACTTGCTTCTAACCAACAGAATGTGGTCAAGGTGATGGGCTGACACTCCAGTGATCAGATTACAAAAGATCATGCCTTCTGACCTGCCCGCTGATTCTCTCCCTGGCGGCTCTCATGAAGCAAGCAGCCATGTTGGCAAGACCCAGAAGCAAGGCATTTAGGGTAGCCTCTAGCCAACAGCCAGCGAAGAATGAACACCCTCCTTCCAACAGCCACTGAGGAACTGAATTTTGCCAATGAGCTTGAAAGCCTGTGAGCTTGGAAGCAGAGCCTTCCCCAGTCAAGCCTTTGGATGAGACCCCACTGTGGTGAAGCCTTGACTGCAGCCCTGGGAGAGATCCTGAAGGAGAAGATGCAGTAAACTGTGCCAGATTCTGACCCACAGAAACTGTGCAATACTAGGTGTGGGGTGTGTGGTGTTTTAAGCTGCTGAGTTTTGGGGTGATTTGTTACGCAGATGACTAATGTAGCAGGCAACCCAACAACTGGGTTAGCCTCCTAATGCAGGCTGTCACCATGGCATCCTGCCATCCCCTCCTTGGCACCATGACATCCACCGTGAGAGAGTAAGGGCCTCACTTCTAGGTAAAAGTGCCAGCTCCCAGAGGGTAGGTACTGGGTGGGCCTTCATCCTTCAGGGATAGGTATATGCTCAGCACCCAGCACAAGGCCCAACATGTGGTCAGGCCTCAATAAATATCTGAATTGATGAACTAGCTGTGTTGAGGACCAGAAAGGTAAGAAATCAACAGAAAGGCAAGAAATCTTCACTTTCAGTTCCTATAATAGACAAAGTATTTGTTCCAGAAAGCAAGCAAACAAAACAAAACATGGTGACTACTTGGAAGTGCTATCTTGTGGCCCTTGATCCTCCTAAAGGAAGGCAGACTTTGACAGGTCCTGCTTCTGGCTCACTGTCTGAACCTGGGTGGCACCATGACCCTCCCCATTCAAAGCCTCGCCTGATGGCGCTTATGTCCTCAGAGGTAGAATCAGGACTGCAGGAAAAGAGGGACACATGTAGGGAAGTTGACTCCACTCTCCAACAAGAGAACCCATGGTCTTTCCCTTTGTCCTCACTGATCTCCCTGTTCAGAATGCTTCTTCCTTTCAACCACGTTCCTTCTTTGTTGACTTGGCAAACTCTTACTTGTCCTTCAAAACCCAGCCTGGCTTCAGCTCCTCCAGCATAGCTTTTCCCCACCTATAGCTCATTCCCTCTTCTCAGCCACTTCTCATCTCCCCTCTTGCTCCAGCTGAATCCACAGACCGTAACAACCATAGCAATTCCTGTCTTGCAACCAGCCGTGAGTTCCCCATGCCTGGGGCCTGGAACAGGGCTGATACACACCAAATAAGCCCAGACACAGACCAGTTCCCACTGCTCTATGCCCAGGGAGTGACAAAATGTCGCAGTTTTCACTCTCTTGGCCCCCTAAGGTTGAGGTGCAGTGTGACCTTCTTCAGAACGAGGAACTAGGGAAATGTGACAGGAAGACATTCGGTGAACAGAAAGTGCACTCTTGAGAGAATGTTCCAACCTCGTGAACTGCAGCTGGGGGCTATCTGGGGGAGGGAGGCAGAGCAGCTGTGAAAACACCTCAGTGGGCGGCAAGGGGTCACTTAGTCCCTGAGCCTTTCCTTTCAAGGCTGACAGTTACATAATCATGTCTACACAAGAGCACCACTGGTTTGTGTCAACTGTTCTCGGACTGAGGAGGACCTGCCCACTCCGTGAGCAGAAGGGCCAAACTCCTGCCTCCAAAGCATGGGACCTAGCAGGTAGGAGGAGGCGAGCTGCTCCGAGGTCAGTGTCTGCCTCAGAACTGGACCAGAGGGATTCCTGAGGCTGAGAGAACAGAACCAGAGTGGAACCATCTGGGGCACATAGATGTGCCTTATGGTATAGCACCAGGAGGGCTGCCGGGATGGAGACGGAGGGGGATAATCCAGCCCCCCTCTGACCAGGTCACACTGAGAGCCGCAGGGGCCATTTTGAGAACTCCACGGAAGGGACACAGAGATAAATTCAGGGAGGAGCGAGCAGGGCAGGACTTTGAGGCATGTCCTTCTGGGGGCAACAATGTGAAACAAACGAAGCAAGATGTAAGACTCTATGTATTTACAATTGTGTGTGTACACACACACACAAACACACCACTTAGCTGCACAGGTAAGCAGTCTGGAAGAAAATATAACCAATACAAATAACAGGTATCTGGTGGGAGGTTGTAGGTGCTTTTTATAATCGTTTTCATTTATAGCTTTCCAGTGTACTTCCTAAAATTTCCACATATTAGGATAAGAAGACAAACATGTCTTCTTATCATCATTGGCAAGGATGTGAGGCCAGGAATGCATGCCCATCCAAGGAAGGTATTCACAGAGTCTATTAGATTCCTAGGGCTACTGTTAACAAACCAGCACAATCTCGTGGCTTATAACTGCAGGAATTTATTCTCTGGTACTTCTGAAAGATGCAAGTCTGAAATCCTGGTGTCAGCAGGGTGGGTTCCTACTGGGGGTTCCAAGGCAGGGTCCCTCCTAGGCTTGTCTCCAGCTGCCAGTGCTAGCTGACAATCCTAGGCATTCCTTGGCCTGCAGACACATCACTCCAATCTCTGCCTCCATCATCACATGGTGCTCTCCCTGTGTCCAAATTTCCTCTTCTCACAAGGACACCAACCACCAGATCAGGGATCACCCTAATCCAACAGGACCTCTTCTTAACTTGAGTCCGTCTGCATAGACCCTTGTTTTCAAATAAGATCACGCTCACATGTATGGGGGGGTGGGCTAGAACTTCAGCACATCCTTGTGAAGGGCCTAATTCAACCCGTAACAAGAGGCAGGCAGAAAAGGGAGACACAGAGGGTTGGGTCTGCTTCAACATCGGGCAGCCTCTCCCGCATGGGGAGAGTGTCCCTTGGGTCTATCTGGCTCTACGGGGACAGAACGGATCCAGGGCAGATGCTCCCAAAAGACAAACTTGATTTCAAAACAGGAAGAGTACTGTTACAGAGCTGTATTGGTCATCTTGGGTGGGGGACTCCCACTCGAGGGTCCTGGAGCAGCCTGAGGGCCCCTCTCTCTGATGGGATGGTATCACGCAGATTGTCGCGCTAAGTGATTTTCAGGTCCCGGAAGTCCCCAGCTTCTGCGATCCCCACTGGCTTCATCATGATTCAAGCCTCACCAGTGCTGGCTCGGCCACCCCCATGCTCAGTCTCACGTGAGCTGTGCCTCAGCCCAGTGGGTGACCCCTGCTTTTTTGCGACAAAGCAGCCCTGCCCATCATCTCTCCTCCTTTTGGTCTTTCAAGCAGGAGACCGAACTCTCAGAACTGACAGGGATAAAGGCTCACGCAGGTCGGGACACAGGAATCGTGGGAGCCAAACCCCTTGGCAAACCCTGACATCCCGATTCCAAGGGGGTTTCGCACACCCTCACAGTACCCGAAGAGGGTCCTACGTCCCCAGGTCAAAGAGGCCAGAGGCTGAAAGCCCACGGGCCACGGTCAGAAGATCTAAAACAATCCACAATTTGTTTAGACCCAGTGAAGATTGCACCAACAATAACATTTACATAAGAAATAGCAGTAGCATTGCAAGTTAAGCTTGTTTAAAAAAAAAAAGAGGGAAGATCTTGTTCATGATGAGAAGGCAGGCTGTTCTTCAAAACTGCCTTTTTGCCCCAAATACAAGAAATCCAAAGTGCTCACCTCTCCACAGGATCCCTGAGCATGACGATCAGTTTTGCATCTGGCTGAAAGGCGTGGATGAAGTCCTGGGTCAGAAAGGGCGGCTCTCCATCTGTGCTGTTGTCATAGAAGAAGGTCCAGGCGTTGTTGTCCCACATGGTGGAGGCGCTGGCCTCCCCTAGAAACACAGAACACTGCAAATGAGCAGTGCTGAGTTACACACTCCCACGGGGCAGCCTGTGCTAGGGACCAAACCAGGCTCCACCGGGGCACACGGGACTCCAGGAAGAGGAAGCTGACAAGGCCCCTCTGCCATGGTGACCTCCCCTGCTCCCGCCCAGAGGTCTCTGTCTGGAAATCAAAGTGATCCAGGCAACACTGAGCATCTGCTTCCTCCCAGCTCCTCTCCGGGATGTGTAAAAAAACAAAACAAAACAAAACAAAAAAAACAAAGCAAAAAACAACCCTCTCCCAGCATCTGGCCTCCCAATTTCATGATATTTGACATTGCTCATGGTGCACAGATCTGTGGCATTTTAAAGGCCCACTGAGAATGTACTAGATGGTTCCCTTTAAAAAGCACCAGGGATGAGGAAGTAGTTTGCGGTGGCTGACACTCCTTAGGAAATCAGATGCAATCTGCATCAGATTTTCCATGAAATCACAACCCACGGCTGGTCCTGGGCACACTCTGAGACCAAACGAGAGGAAGAGTTCACGGGAGGGCTCACGGGACCCCAGTCTGGAGGTGCTGTGTCCTGCGTGCCCACCCACCCCATGGCCCTGCACACAGGGGGCACTCACTCCGTGCTGCCTGGGTGGACAGGGGGTGGGTCCAGCCCTTTCTTATCATGGTCTGTATGAATGAAGGATGAAATGTTAAATACACATTCTAGGACAGCCATGAGGCCAAGATATACACATTTCAACATCTCTTGCTCAGATACTTGAACCAATTCCCTGACTATTTTTTTTAGAAGACTCTTCAGAGATTTAGAAAGAAAGGCAAATCGATCAATTACATACAAATTCAATTTCCCGACATTTTACATGGGTATTTAATATATCTCAAGGCCACTTATTCAGGGAAAATCCGAGCCAAAAGACTAGTGTCTTTGATCAGTGATGAGTGTATCACAATAATGCAGGGAGTTGGCAGGGCCCTATCTATTCTGTTGGATGTGCAATCACATTCAGGTGAGCATTTCTGTTCTGGTCTTTCCTTTCTTCTCTTTTTTTTTAAAGATAATACCTTAGGATACAGGAAAGACAAGTCAATCAGAAGTCCTTTGAAAATTCTACTCACAATGAATATAAGAATATTAGAACAAGAGAAGTATCTAAAATGAAGGCACAATTCTGTCAAATCTCATAAACAAACTACTTCTACAACCATAGAAACATTTGTCCATCTGCTAGTGCATCTGTCCGTCTGTCCGTCCATCCATCCATCCATCCATCCATCCATCCATTCATTCATCCTCTGTTCATTTCATATCCATCCAACCAGAAAGCATTCATCTGGTGTCTACTAAGTGCCTGGCACTGTGCTTGGCATTGGGGATAGAGGAGGGAAATAAGACAGACAATCCCCTCTCTCCGACCTCACAATCTAGGGGAGGCTGACAACTCCACAAACAATCAGCTCCTGAGGTGAGCACTTAGACGGGGCAGAGCAAGGTGCCATGACAGCAGAGGCAGGGGCCTTTCAGTGTGTCTACAGCCCCACCCCTGAGAACCTGGCCGCTCGAATCCTTCGGGACTCCAGCCATTAGCCCAGACCAGTGAGGAAAGGCTCTCTCTGACCCCTGGGCCGAGATGAAGACCGACCCTTACACTGTATCAAAGATCTAACCAGAGGAAGCTGAAGCAGGGCTGAATCACATTCCAGGGCTGGAATGGAGCCGGTCCAACAAGCCCATTGTACAGACGTGCAGGCTGAGTTCAGGAACAGGAAGACAGACTCGTCACATGGCACAGAGCTGGCTGGTGGCACGGGCGGGGCTAGCTGCAGGCTTTCCCCACACCTCTCCACTACATAAAACTCCCCAAACCCTGCTTTAGGTAAATATCAGAGCAGCAAAATGTTTTCTTTTTCCTTTTTAAATCTGGAAGTAGGTAAAATTAGAAAACCAAACTAAGGCTTTCCTTTTTCATTCATTATGTTAGGCTCTATTTCCTAGCCCTAGGATGCATATTTTTAGCTCTTTCATAAGAACATGAAATTCTCTCAGAAGCATACGGTGTGGGAGTCACAGTCAAATATTAATTAGACTTGTGATCTGAAGTGTGTGGACCCAAGGCTGCAAGAAAATAGCTAGTAGCCAATTCACACCAGGGTGGGGGTGATGTCTGATCTCATCTGGCTCTCAGAACTTGATTTCTTTTGAGTTAAAAAACAAAACAATAAATAACTCAGGGTTTAGGCACGTAAGCCTATCTCCTAGGAGAGAAAGAGTCAAAAGCAAAGAGCCATCTTTGATTACAATTCCTCTTAGTTGCTAACAGAGTCACTGAATTTGCAGAATCAAAATATAATAGATTTAGGAAAATAAAAATACAGACTGCGGCCTCAGGTACAATTTAAGGAAACTATGTGACCAGATTTCTCTCTTTCAGAAAGTGTAAGTGGATAAATGTCTTCTCCTAAGCTGAATCCAATACAAAAAGCGAACAGTTAGGTTTTTTATAAAACGTTCTTGTGAATTAAAAAAAAAAAAGGTTTATTAATCAAGCCACCTCATTTTGAATGTCTAAAGGCATTAACTTGACAGTGGCTAGGCTTTTTCAACAGCAATTAGTCACCAACAACGCATTAAGGCTGTATCTGTTTCTGGAGTAATTGCCTCTGTCTTCACAGGGCCCTGGGGCCAGGGATTCCAAAAGCCACAGTATTAAATCAATGACTAATTGGTTACCTGTGCTTATGATCCCCCATTCAAACTTAGATCAGTATGTCATAAAAAGAAACCAAGCACATGTGCTTAATTTAAATAAAAACAAAGAAATGTCAACTTTTTAGAAAAAAACCATTACAGGTACATGGGAGTCTCCACAGAACTAAAAAGTCTGCTAAACATTTCTGCTTTACAGAAATTGTGTCAGTGATGTGAACGTTTTACACAGGGGTGAGAGCGACGGCCAGGTCGAGAAGGTGGCAGGCATCCTGCAAATGTTCCGCAGGCCAGAGCAAAAGCCGGGCCAGCCCCAGAGCAGAAGGGGCCCCGTGGGAGTGGGGGCCAGGCCCAGGGTGGGAGCAGCCCCCATGGGGAATTACACAGAAGTCCTACCGATAATGATTCTAGTCATCCTGCTCTGCTCGTTTGCAGAGCCAGCCTGCAGGCCTTGATGAATCTGGTGTGCGGCCAGGTCAAAGAGGTCCAGGTAATCTTCCACAGGGTAGCGGTCCCGAAGCCCATCTCTCAGGCGGACAATCCCTACGAGAACCAAGAAGCAGGAGTTACTGAGGACAAAGCGGCCACTGCTGGAGGGGTGGCCTCCTGGGGAGTGACCGAGAGGGATGTAAAGGCCCAGAGGCCCAGATGCAGCAGCCGAGGCTCCACCCAAGTGAGCTGCCCGAAGGAGCTCGCAGAGAGAATGTTTGCAAATTGGCTGTCCTCTTTAACCTGCTCACTTCAAGGGGTGGAAGACCACCATTCAGGTGCAAGTGGTGGTTTCCAGGATTGCACACCTGTTCAAGAACGATCAACGCATCTGCTTGGAGGGCCAGACTTTGGGGCTGGCTGAGAGGTGCACCAGGTGGGGCCCCGAGTGGCTGAGCAGCAACGGCATCCAGAATGCACACACTGTATCAAACAGGAATGGGAGGTTTGTTTTTTTTTTTTTAAAGATTTTATTTATTTGAGAGAAAGAGATCGACCAGGAGAGGGGCAGAGGGAGAAGCAGGGGACCCGACATAGGGCTCAATCCCAGGACCCTGAGCCAAAGGCAGGCACTTAACCAACTGAACCACCCCGGTGTCCCAGAAAAGGGAGTTTTTATCTGAGCTTCTATCTCTGGCCTGTTTGATCAAGCAGCTTGTCTGTCTGTCCAAACAAGGGGAATTGTCCCGGAATCCCGAGACAAACGGCTGAACTCACTAGTTATTCTGCCATTGACCGATGCAGCCGAAATTTGCCCCTTGCCTTAAAAATGGGTCAATCTTGCATGCAACACTATTAACAACACACTTCCCCAAACCACAGCTACCACAGTTAATGGAAAGTGGAGAGAAAACGTCCACGTGCAGAAGAGCAAGAGGTTCGAAGAGACTCTGAGTACCGGATCCCAGAAGCACGCCCCTGAGCTTCCCTCGTCCCCGCCAGCGGGAGGCTGGTTCTCATTAGGGCAAATGGTGAGCTGTGCAGGGAGAGCACCCCACGTTAAACCATGGCTCCCACAGCTGCCTCTGCCAAACCACAAAAGACACATTTACACTTCTGTTCGTTCACTCCAGGAAGAACATCAAAAGGATTAAGTCAATTTGTCAGGAAACAAACAGGACTTGGTCTAAACTTAGGCTCTATGAAGGAAAACTTTTAAGATTCCCTTCTAAGCAACCTGGTCCTTTACATGAAAACACGCCCTCGAGTCCCGCCCCAGCTTTGGCATTTGTCAAAGTGACTGAACGTCTCCTGGCAGAAGGGACAAGGTTAAGAGGAGGAAACAAGTGACCTGAGGGCTGTGGGGTGGCTCGGGCTGGGTGGGGGCCGTATCCACAGTCACCCCTGTGAGCAAGGGGTGCTGTGAGCAAGGTCGCCCAGAATCATGTCCATGTGATTTTCCTTCTGAGCTTGAGGCAGACGGACGAAGCAGGTCAGAGAAAAAAATGAGGCCCAAAGCAGCTCGAAGATGTGTTCACAGCCCTCGGAGGAGCCAGCCAGAAGCTCGAACCTCACCCCGTGTGGCAGCCCTGTGGGGGGGGGGGGTGCTCAGGAAGTGTCCCCCTGTGGGGGGGGGCTCAGGAAGCCACTGTGCAGAGCTGGGGGGGCAGCCCCAGGAAAACGCCCACCTGACAAGTGGCACTGGCACTTACCACTCACTGCCGGCCCGTGTACCAAAGCTCTTCAGAACAAGAACGGCTGCCATTCTGCACCCTTCCCCTGCATACAGCTGGCACTTAATAAATGCTCTCTGGGTGGCTGGGAGCTGGGTCCAGCCCCATGGATGTTTGTGCGCCGGGGGGGGGGGCAGACTAAGCGAACTGCCTGCTTTCTGTGTCTCAGGGTGTTTCCTCACTTCTGCCCTGCCTCCCCGAAGACCCTGTGCACCGCGCCTGGCGCCGGCCCTGCCAGACGTGTGCGGCTTAAGGATTAACGGACTGAGGCAGGAGGCGGGGACAGGAAGATACCCTGCGCGCGCACGCACGTCCCGCCCCGCCCCTCGCGGCGACCCCTCGCGCTCACCAAAGCGCTTCCGGGTCCACCAGTGGGGCTCCTTGATGGCGGAGAACTTGACTTCCGGGTGCAGCCGGAGGCGGTCGTAGAGGTCGGTGGTGCCGCACTTAGGCTGCCCGATGATGTAGAAGCGCGGCAGGCAGCGGAGGCGGAAGTGCTTCCCGCTGGCGTGGGACAGGTGGCCCCAGAAGGCCTTGCGCAGGGCGTCAAAGGTGGAGCGGAAGCGCTTGGAGTAGAGCACATAGGAGTTGGTCAGGTACGGGTCGGTGGTGTTCCTGCCCATGAACTCCTCGTACCAACAGGGGCTCTTGCTATTTGGAAGAAATTTATTGGGGATTACTGAAAACATCTGCAATGAAAGAGAAAGAGAGGGAGAGACACACGGAGGGGGGAAATTAGCAAGAACACGTTCTAACCATGGTGCGGTCATGCCCTGATCCTCGCTACCGTGTTCACATTTGAAGTATTATTTGACAATGGCTAAACACTAAAATAAAGCAAAACTTGGTACATGGCCAAGACCATGTTTTTCCTTAGCCCAAAATAAAACTAAAATTTGGAGAGAATGAAGATAAAAGCTTACTCAAAATCCATCCTACATGCACACGCCAGCACACACAGCAATCTAATTAAATTTCACAGTGGGAATCTTTTTACTAGTTGTGTATTTAAATGACCATTAGAGACAAAAATACTAATTAGCACACAATAGAAACAGGATGATGGTGATCTACAAAAACAAGTTTAACCACCATGGCTGTGTTTCAAGTCCTCCAATGGAATTATGAGAAGGGGTGGCCCTTGGGTATGTCTAGCTTCGCCATTCAGTACCTCGAATTTCCTCCTTGGTGTAAACATCGTGAACAGACAGCCCTCTTCCAGGGCCCTCTGACCTGTGAGGCTGTCAAATTATCCTTGTTACACCTGAGAAATTTTTTGGTCATTTTTCTTTACTGTGGTCCCAAAGATGGTGACAGAAAAGGAAGTATCTATTTTTAAAATTCAATCTATCAGTCAGTCGAGATTAGCAGAAGGCTACTCACGTGCAATTCCTGCTTCTTGAGATCTTCTATGTCTGGGAGCTGCCTGGTCGTGAATTCTATCCTGGCTGTGATGCTGTTGATAATTAATTTAATGCTTGGGTAGTCTTTGACGTATGAAATATTATTTACAGAGGGTTGGTGATGATGCTCTTTCATGTCACTAGGGTTTTCTCCGTCCATCAAGCTGGGATTACTGGGGAAAGCTCCGTAATGGAAAGGTGAGGAGATCAGAAGCTCTTGGTGGGCCCCAGAAAGGATGTAAGATGCCATCACTAAGGTCATGATCATCAATCCAAACACGAGGCTACATCGCTTCCCCTTCTTGAAGCGCAGAAACCTGCCCCAGCTCTCATTCCCCTCGGCCCTCACCTCGAGAACAGCAAGCAAGTTCATCTGCTTACCGTCCACCCGGAGCACAATTTTGTTCTCTCCTTTGCACGCAGGGCACTCCGGGTGACCATGAAGGGGGCCTCCTCCGCAGCCGACTTGCTGTTTGTGCTCGTTGTTGGGCAACAACTGTATGCAGCAATTAATGCAGTGCCTCATGGTAATGCCCTTGGACAGCTGGCCCACAGAGCCATGGGCGAGCCCCTGAGGAGCCCGGATGCATGCAAGTTGTGCTGGAAAAACTTTAAGGATGTCTTTCGATTAGATAAGATGGTTTTAAGGCACAAGCAATGGAAACAAACAATATAAAAATGAGCAGGCACCAAAGCCCTGGAGAATGAGGAAGGGCCTTCTTTGGTTCAACTCTGAAAGACAACAAAAAGAAGTGATCTCCAACTGTCATGTTCTGTAAGAGCTACTGCAATCTTAGAAAAGCCCACATGTGTGGGAGCAATTCTGCCTGTCCTTCAGGTTTTTCCCATGGCACAAAATGAAATGGAAGAATTCTCGCTGGAGAACATGGAGACACCCAGGAGATTAGAAGCGATCATGGTCTCAGCGAGGGATGGGTTGGCCTGCCATCCTTGGAGAGGCCCGTGAAGATTTCCTCTACATCCCACGCTCCTTTAAAATGTTTCCTCTTCAGGGGGAGCAAAATCTTTAAAATGTCAGATTACCTGAACAACAAAGAAAAGAGGTTTTATTACATGACGTGATGATAGCCATAACCCTGGGATCACCTTCCCAGGAGAGAAGCTCTCTTTTCCACTCCTAGGTTTCAGTCAGTCTGCTGGGTCACAAGCAAGTCATAGAAAATCACATGGGATAAAAGGAGAGCTTTCTGGTCCCTGGTGCTTGGCTTTGGGGTTCAATTTCTGCCACCAAACGTGGCTCCAGCACCAGCCCCGCCAGCACCACGTCAAACACCTCATATTTTGCACAGCCCATATATCCTCTAATGTCCCAGCCACACCAAAGCTAAGTACCAAATCCCCAAGCCTCAAGACTTCATAGTCATTCCCAGATGCATGAATGGTCAGTGAGTGTAAGTTGAGAGATGAACTGAAGTATCTGCGCTTTTAAATCAACAAAATATCCAAGAAGCAGCCTGGTTAGGGTGGGAGCATGCAGAGAAAATGTTTTTTTTCTCCCAATAGCACCCATAGTCTCTCTTTTTATTTTATTTTATTTTATTTTATTTTATTTTATTTTATTTTATTATGTTATGTTAATCACCATACATTACATCATTAGCTTTTGATGTAGTGTTCCATGATTCATTGTTTGCGCATAACACCCAGTGCTCCACGCAGAACGTGCCCTCTTTAATACCCATCACCAGGCTAACCCATCCCCCCATCCCCCTCCCCTCTAGAACCCTCAGTTTGTTTCTCAGAGTCCATAGTCTCTCAGCACCCATAGTCTCTTACCGAGAACTAACCTTTATTATCAGTTTAGGAGGCAAAAGTTAATGAAAATTTAGAAATACTGGAATGATTCTCTCCTTCAGTAGAGTACATCATATAAAAAAACCATTTGACTTTAAGTTATTAAGCAATTAAACCCAATGTGCAGTGTTCCCCTGAGTAACATAATACTCAGACCCTGAAATCATTTTTCACTTTCATCATCCTGGGGAAAACATGATTCTTAAAAATCCATTAACAGAATTCTGTGGTTATAAAATGTATTGTTGCCCAAATGATGACACTTCTTTTTAGGTGTGTAAAAACAGCAAAAAAGGAGACTTAGTTTCCAATAATGGCAGACCACCACTAACTAGCTGTGTGACCTCCAGTGGGCCATACAACGTCTCTGAGCTTTTCCTCCATGACCAGGAAATTAGGGTAAAACTACCTCCCTTATAAGCTTGCAGCAAGTACTAAATTAGTTAACACACATAAAGAGTTTGCTTAATGCCTACACATAGTTATTAGCGTCCCCTAAAAGGTAGGCAACAATAATAGCATCATCAATGACCATTATGATTATGATTTTTAATTGTCAGTGAATGCCAAGAATGTTCAAAGTGGAATCAAAGATGGGAGATCCTATCACATTATTTTTCCTTAGGGTTTGAGAATTACCCAAAGGCAGTAGACTCACCTCCAACTTGACACACACACACAGCCCTCAAATAATCCTACCTGTCCCCAGAGAAGGTGGGATTAACCAACCCTGAATTAAAGCCTCCTTGTATTGGCTGGAAGGCTGAATAATGAGGACTCACCAGCAGGAAACTTCCCTTCCCTTGGACAGAAAGGCCTGAGCTTTATCAAAATACACTGATCAAGAAATAGCCAAGCAGTGCTTCCTAAAGTGTCTCCCACTGAGTGTTCTGCACGTTGTTATGTGTTCTGTGCTTAAATTACTCAGAGAAAAGGTAAGATGGAGGCAATCAAACGGACTTCTTTACAACAGGACTTTTGGGGGCCTTTAATATGCTAATGAGCCCTGTGAATCCACAGGAGAGGAATATAAGATGCAAAATTTCCAAAACATAATTGGCCACGGAATTCTCACTGTCGCAAGGAACCAGCTTGTGAAATGCTAGTTAGGGGAGGCTGAGATTGGGGTCAGGGCAGTTCTGGGAAGAGCAGAGGAGTGGGGGTGTGCAGGAGCAAACTGTTCTGGAACCAGGCCAACACCCGGGGCTCCGCCACCCACACATCTCTTGAGAGCAGTTGGAGGGACGTGACAGGAGCCTTGAGGCCAAACCCCTGCCTCCCACTCACTCAACCACCCTTGACCCATCACTTGGTACAAACAATTCTTCCAAACCAAAGAAACAAAAGGGCAAGATCCCCTACTTGGAAATCCTATCGCTAAGCCAAGAAAACATTTTTTTACATGTTAAAAAGACAAGGCCAAGCGGGGCTAAAAGGAGGCTCCAACCAGGATCTCAGTGGGGAGCGTGTTCACACCCTTCTGTGTCTCTGGCTGCAGAAAGTCCAATTAGATTTTTTTTTTTTTAAAAAACAGAGTCTTTGAAGCTCCAAGACAAGAATGTACAAAATCTGGACCCAACAGAATGGGCAAAATATTCCTAAACAAAAACAAAGGTTTCTTCTTACAAGCCAAGTAAGTAAAGAGATGTGGGTCGTCAGGGAAGCTGACAGGCTCAACAGGGAGGCTCCGGGACATGGTGAGCCCAAGCATTTATACCCCTGGGCAGGCTGCACCCTCTAGCCAGACCTCTACTCCAGTCTTGCTTCTTAAACATAAAACAGCTCGGGAGCCGAGACCTGGGGCGACAACTCATCACCTGTTTGTTCCTTTGTTGGGCAGATCTCTTTGGAAGGGGAGCTTGGAGCAGGCACTGCTGTAGATGCGGTGGGGTTGTGGAGACCCAAAGCCAACAGAAGATGGGGGGGTAACAGAATAAAAAATAAACATGGTCTTTGTCCCCAGTTCCTGGCAAATAGCTTCTAAAACCCTTGGAATTTCCTAAGTGAAGGGGTGAGAGGAGCATCTTTTTTGTTCTTCATGACAAGCCCCATTCAACCACAGCTGAATTTATGCTAATGAGATGACTCTTGGGGGAACCCCTGATAGCTTCAGGATGGGGCTGGTGCCCAGAAAGCCCAAGCCTCTATTAGACAGAAGGCTGGAACTTACAGCTCCACTTCCCCAACCTCCAGGGAGGCGAGTGAGTTAATCATCAATGGCCAATGATTTATTAATCATGCCTATGTAATGGAACCTCCATCAAAAGCCCCGAAATGACAGGATTCGGAGAGCTTTCTAGTTGGTGAACGCATGGAGGGGCTGGGAGGGTGACTCCCCTCCCCTCCCCCCATGTCTTACCCCAGGCATGTTTTTCATCTGGTTATTCCTGAGCTGTATCCTTTATAACAAACTGGTAATAGTAAATAAGGCACTTTCCTGAGTTCTCGGGAATTATCAGACCTAAGGAGGGCCTTGTGAGAACCTCGGAATTTGTAGCCAGATCAGACAGAAGTTGGGTAGCCTTGGGACCCCATACTTGTAACTGGCATCTGAAGTTGGGGCAGTCTTGGGGGACTGAGCCCTTAACTTGTGGGGTCTGTGCGAGCTCAGGGTATTTACTATGGGAACTGAACTGAATTGTAGGGCAATTCAGCTGGTGTCTGGAGAGCTGGAGCTTGTTTGCATGGGGAAACAATATATAAATATCTTTTAAGTTTTACCAAAACATATGACCAGTATCTAGTATGTAAAATACCCCTTGATGAAGTCGATTAAAAATAAGTCCTATGACCATATCCCATACACAGCTGGGGCCCTTGTCAGTGCAGGGCCTGGAGCTTTGAGGCTTCCAGACCAAGCCCTGGCTGACTGGACAGGAGTGGTACAGAAGAAACCACGACAGGGAGGCTTTTCCCCACCTAGAGCTTATATCCCACCAGGATTTAGGGGCTACAGGGCAACAGACAATGAATGTGACAAAGGAATAAGATCATCTCAGACACCAATAAAAGCTATGGAGAAAATACAAAAGGAGAATACAATGAAACCATGACAATAGGCATTCTCTAATGCAGCACTAGGGCCAGATCATTCTTCGTGGTCAGGGGCTGTTCTGTGCACTGACCTCCACCCCCAGGTGAGCCTTGCAGCCTGACAGGAAAGGATGTCCAGCAGCAGGATTTCCAGAGAAGAGTAGTTGGGAGGGGACGCCTGAATGACGAGAAGGAAGCCAGCCACATGGAGATCAGGAGAAGTATTGTGCTGAGATTTGTCCAAGTGCAAAAAAGGATGCACGCCACATATTCTCTCAAAAGGAGCTTTACAAGATGTACAACTATCAAGTAATGTAATGCAGTGAAGAAAAATCGAATTAATGTGACTGTATCGAAGGGAAAAGCATTGCTGTTCTACTCCTGAATTGGCCTTTTCCATACGCCACAAATCATCCTGAGAACAGTCCCGCAGAAACCTCACACTCAGGTGGTTCTTCCTTAAAAAAATAAGCAACGCATGTCCCTTGCACTTTACCTATCTGGAATGTTCCCGTTTTGGTGCCAGTCGACTCAGATGAGTCAGGACCCTTGGCGCTCCCATGCAGATACTAAACCAAAGTACTCAGGTATACATTTCAGTGAGATCGCTTCCCAGCCTGGGCTCAGTGCTGTGCCTGATGGAGGCAGACAGCAAGTGTGGGAACCCGTACCCCTGTGCGAGATCAGATGACTGGTCCCAAAATAGAAAGCGTTCAATTACCCAGCCCTGGCTAGGATGCCCCCTATTAACCTATGCACCCCAAGCATCATTAGCAAGCCATTTATAACAAAATTGTAATTGAGAGACCCAGAAATACCACTTTAGAGTAAGTAATTGAATGCCCCCTCGGTGTAAGATCGATAAAGGGCATCCAATTTCACCCTAGGAAAAACTTATTAAATTATTGTAGCTATGAGCTGATACAGCAGAAGAAAGATGTACAAAACTTCAAAAGAAATCTGGACGGATTTAAATAAATAGCTTCATTTAGGCAGACCATTTACAACTGCCCTCTGGGAGGAGAGAGGAAAAAATAGCTAATTACATTATTTTACTTGAATGTTTGAAGGAAAAAACATTTGATGGGTCTTAAGTAATCTTTACTAAAACACGAGGCTTTCTTCTGATTAGCATGTCTAACCGCTGACATTTCTCTTTGGGCAATGTATATGGAAATACATTTCTTCAAGGAACA